TGTACTTCGCGCCTGTCAACTCGGCGGTAGACATTGGCGTGCTCAGGTGAAAAAAAATACATGGGCCGCTATGTATAACTAAAAAAAGTCTCAATTGCACCGCAAGGGTGAAGCCGTGAATCCAATATCAGCAAACAGTAATGTTATACGAAGTGAGGCTGGCAGCTAACTTTTTCGTTTCCGATGTCACTGATGTAAGTTGAATGACCCTCCCACATGAGTAGCATACGCATCGAAGAAATTTGAGAGCGACGAAGAAGAAGAGAATGTTTAGTGAAATCAAACACGCTCATTGACATGAATGCTCGGCTTTGCGTCTTTTTGATTTGGCACTTTTAGACGTCGAAGAGCAGTTTTTTCACAGTCACTTCAGGGCAAGCAACACTTTTACACAGTCACTTCGCGATGAGAGGACAGAACGTAGCATTGGATGCACGAGCTGCCCGCTGATAGCTGCCGAGATAGTGTGCGAGCCAGCGATCGTGACCGTGCCCTTAGAAGCAAAGTTCATTGTTGTTGCTCGAGTGACACCCCCCTCCTCCCTTGTTCTTTTTTTTTTCCTGCTCTTCCGACAAGGCTGAGGCGCTTCCTTTCTGCTTCGACTACAGGCTTCCCGGGAGGGGGTTTCGGATGTTATCGTGCATGCTGTCCTAGCGCCAGAGAGGGACTGGATCGTTTCATTTCTGCTTCAACTTTGTTCGTCGCCTTAGTCTGAGCTTTTCCCGGCAGAAAGAGCATACGGTGCGCAGGGGTATGTTATCAGTTTTTAATTTATATGGGCGTGATGGCAATGGCAGAAGCCTGCAGGGAGTGTTCATGTAATTTCTATTACAATAATGAGGCTATCACACAATTTAGCTGAGTGTTGGAAACGTGTAGCGAGGAACAAATGTATCTTCACAATTGAGAAAATTGAATTGCTGCACAAACTTGAAGAAAAAAACAAGAGAGACAGGAAAGAGCGCAGCTTTAAAGACAGGAAAGAGACAGGAAAGAGCGCAGTGCTGCGCAGGAAAGAGCGCAGCACTGCGCTCTTTCCTGTCTCTCTTGTTTTTTTCTTCAAGTTTGTGCAGCAATTCAATTTTTTCAAGTATGAACCAACTAGTCTGCAAAAAAGTATTGCTGTATCTTCACAAGTGCTTTGAATGGGGCTACATCTGCTCTGAATGTTCATACTGCTCTAAACTTACTTGAAAAGGTCCATCTGGCTGCTTCAAGCCTGCTCCAAAACGTCTTTCTGGCTGCTCTAAGCCTGCCACAAAAAGCACTTTTATGTGCTCCCAGAACTCCTCCCAAACTCATGTACCCTGTTCCACCCCTGCGCGTAATGGACGAAAAGTGCAAGAGATTGTTTAACAGTATTTATTTTCGTGTGTTTGCTAAACCCTTTATGTGCAGCAGCAAATCAAAATCAGTTGGAAGCAGTGCTTGTGTGTGCCTCACGCCGTCCCTGTCTTCTTGCTCTGTAATCTTGCTAAAATGCTACCCAACCAGCCCACTGACAAGCATTAACTATTAATAAACAGGTTTTGTGCATGTGGGTGCTTAAAATGCTCTTTGGGAGCCTGAAAATAATCATTGTAATTTCACTGTTCTTGTTGTCTTCTAAATGACCCAACTGAAAGGGCCTCTAACTATATGCATTGAAAGAAAATAAGTTATTTCGCTGTCACATTTTGTCTTCATGTCCCAACTAAAGGCTATGGCATTATGTTAATAAAGTGAAGCTTTGGACTAGTTGAGCATTATGAAGTACAAACAGTGCAAATTCAACACTGGCACACAAGAAGAGACACAGACAAGCGTTATCTGTGTCTCTGCTTGTGTCCCGGTGTTAAATTTGTGCTGTTTGTACCTCATAACACACTATCTTGTTGAATCTTATATAGTGAACTAGAACCAACATCCAAGTGGCACGAATGGAGGAGCATTGCAATGCAGCAGCTCCTTGCTGAAAGGGGCATGGCTTCACCTTTTCCTAGCACTCCGATGCTTGGGCTCTTCTTGGGCTGCTGCCATCGCGCCACTATGTATTGCTTAGTGTCTATCCCTGCCCGGATTGTTTATGAGTGTTGAGGTGACATGAGTTGAGGTCTGAAAAAAGGTAGTTGCCCTGTAGTAGAAGCCTCTATAGCGAACTCTGAAAAAATATAATTAAAAAATTCTCTTTCACTGTAGATGCCGTATAGACAATGCTACAGGTGTACATCCTCACTTGAAAGCGTAGAAAGCATGCATTTTTATTTAGCAATGTCTGCCGTAGTTTTAAGCCTGTGAAGTCGGAAGGGCTGTCTGGTTTGCTTACTCATGAATTTTTGCATGGTTTCCCAATAAACTACAGCGAAAATAATCTTGGGTGTGTTCATCGTGAAGGTGCTTTTGAAGCCTGTCAAAGTGGATTGTATGCACATTCTCTATAATAAACGTGTATTAGACACTTTCAGTTGGCCATCTGCAACTGCTATGGGGACGCTGCCTGCAAGCCATATTGGGAATGGCAGGCTGTGTTCACATAACTGTAGTGGACGCTCAGCTAAATCGGTCTAGTAATGTGCCACACCAGCACAACAATGCGATAAAACGCACACAAGCGCATGCAGCACCAGCGGTGGTAGTGTTGCTGCCACTAGGAAAAGTTGCAGCGGCACTACCTGAATTTTTCTGCACCGGATGTCATGCTTGAACTCTCCCGTTCATGTCACCAGGATGGTGGTTGTATTTCACTATACAAAACCCTATGGCATCCCAGGTGTGCTTGCCGTCTTCAGCAGTTTCATTTTTATAAAAGCAAAATACTAAAAACCCTAGGCAATGTGCTTTTGTTTTGCATACTGAAACAGACCTAGATGGTAATAACTACTGCTGAGCCCCTGCACCATTTATAGGGCTTTTGTAGTTTAGGGAAGCATATTGTCACGATGAGTCACAAGTACTGGGGGATATATTGAACGACCGGGTAGCTAGCTCTAGGACGATGCGTCAGTCGTGGCTGGCTCTCGAGCCGAGAAGAGACACGCAAATCTTCTTTCTTTCCTCCAGATGGTAGAGCCGCTCTTGCAGTCGACCCACTACGTGTGGGTGGCATTATCCCCCTTTCGAAAAGAAAAAAAAAAGTCCCAAAAGGGGGAAAGAAAAGTACATAGCACCACCACGATGTTAAGACATAGGCACGTGGAAAAAAAGAAATTGGAAATTCGGATAAAGTAAAAATAGAAATGAACGAGCGTGCCAATATAGGAAAAATCAGTAAACGAAGAAGCAAGTTCACAAAAATAAATAAATAACACAAAGAACGCTGTACGGCAAGAAAAAAGTTATGAACAACGCGCAATAAATGGTTTCATGCGCAACACATGAACGACATCCGACCTCGGTCGTGTCCTACTCCGTGCCTGCGATGTTGAGTCCGGTACCACTTCGTAGTTCACGTCACTGACGCGACGTAACACTTTATAAGGGCCAAAGTACCGTCTCAGTAACTTTTCACTAAGGCCACGGCGGTGGACGGGCGTCCACACCCAAACTTGGTCTCCGGGGTTGTAAAATACTTCACTGTGGCGGATGTTATAGCGCCGTGCGTCTGCCTGCTGTTGCTGGCCGATGTGTAGTCGCGCGAGCTGCCGGGCTTCCTCGGCACGCTCTGCGAATTCATTGGCGTCAGTTGCCAACTCGTCTTCGTCTTGACACGGTAGCATAGAGTCCAGCATGGTCTGCACTTCGCGGCCGTAGAGAAGCCGAAATGGCGTGAATCGCGTGGTCTCTTGCACGGCGGTATTATACGCGAAGGTCACGTAAGGAGTCATTGCTGGTCCCAGCGGCGGCGAAAATGTCAGCAATGGACATGCCACTGACTTGCCTGTCGTATTGGTTTGATCGCTGCTGTAGCATTTTTTCCGTTGTCACGGCTTCAGACAAGAACTCTGCGACCGTCTTCGGAGGGCTTCGCACGAGGCCGGCGAAAAGCTGGTCCTTGACACCACGCATCAAGTGACGCAACTTCTTGTCCTCTGTCATTCTTGAATCTGCCCGTCGGAAGAGACGCGTCATGTCTTCGACGTACGCGGTCACAGTTTCGTTTGGCGACTGGACGCGGGCAAGAATAGCTCGTTCAGCTCTTTCTTGGCGGTCAGCGCTGGCATATGTCTGCAGAAGTCTACGAGAGAATTCTGGCCACGTCGTCAGCTGCTCCTCTCGATTTTGATACCACGTGCGAGCCCCGTCTTCGAGATAGAAGTAGACACGACCCAGTTTCGCCGCGTCGTCCCACTGATTCAAGTTGGCTACGCGCTCGAAGTCCGCCAACCAGTCCTCAACGTCTTCGCTCTCCGTACCATGGAACGTCGTCGGTGCCCGTGGACTTTCCAACGTATATCGGTTCGACGACGTGCTTCCCGTGCCGGTTGGCAAGGTTTGTGTCGAAGTGCTGGTCATGTTTGTTGACGTGGTGGGAGCAGTATCGTTGACTTCCGGAGGTAATCCCCTGATTCGGCGGCTCGTCCGATGCACGGGAGTATTGATTGGAACTGGACTCGTATTACGGCTTCCTGGGGGGGTCTGCAGCATCCGTGAGACTACCCAGCACCTCCACCAGTTTGTCACGATGAGTCACAAGTACTGGGGGGTATATTGAACGACCGGGTAGCTAGCTCTAGGACGATGCGTCAGTCGTGGCTGGCTCTCGAGCCGAGAAGAGACACGCAAATCTTCTTTCTTTCCTCCGGATGGTAGAGCCGCTCTTGCAGTCGACCCACTACGTGTGGGTGGCAATATCATAGCTCTGCAATTTATTCTAAAAATGTAAGTTTTTTGTTTTTTTTTGCTACATGAAGAAATCAAGAAGCAGAAAATATGTGCTTTTCGTCATTGAGGACTCTCACTGCCTCCACTGGTTTGGCAAATCTTCATGCCAATGTGTTGCTAAAGAATGAACAAGAAATGGTGGCATGTATTTAATTGTAGGTGCTGCTGTTGAATCTACAGAATGCACTTTGGTCTCCCAGGTCTGCGCCTGCCTTCGAGGTCAGCTGTCAACAACCTTGCCGACCTTCTTGATCACTTCGGCCTGTCCAAGTATGTACCCATGTTGGAGGCTCAGGGCATTGACCTTGACCAGTTCCTGACGTTTGGCGATGCTGAACTTGAGCAGGCAGGCATTCGGTAAGTGGGCTCGCTCATTCTGAGCTGTATTGTCAGTTGAAAGGAATGCTGTGAAGGACAAGGTCATGCCAGTTTTCATTCCAAATCTCTGTTCACTCGACAGTCAATTTGCATTCATCTGGTCCCACAAATGTATTTCAGAAGTGCTGAAAGTGGTAAATTCAGCTGTCAGACAAATCCTCAAAGGAGACACGTACTAGTCTTTTCAAAATAATTGTTGGTTTAAAAACAATATTTGCTTTTCTGGGACATCTATCTAACCAGAAGCATAGGCGTGCACACGGTTCCTTCATGGAGGTGAGGGGGAGGTTCTTCAAACGATTTTCTCTCCATATTGTTTCATTCGGGGCTGACACCTACTATTCGTGATCTGATAATGCTTGCCGACTTTGTTCCCTCCCAATATTATTATTCTCCAGTCTCATGGTTCGGTTCTGCAGTCGCTACCTATCCTAAGTACACATATTTTTTTTCCACTTGCAATGCCTTGTTAGCTTTTGCGAGGTGCTGTTCTCTCCCGAGACTGTTACACATTATTTTAGTTTTCAACATATTGTTACGGTGAGATGCCTTTATTTACAGGAGATGATGAATGTGAGAGTCCAGGGATCTGGCCGATCACCGCTCGTGCCAACCTCGTTCTCCTCTCCTTCCACGCGCCCCCTCAGTATCCTAGCAATTCCCCCTTTGCAGACGATGCCCACCGGGCGAGTTAGGCTTCATTGCGATGATGATAGCGTTTTAGACGGGCAACATGAACAACATTGGTCTTGCTTGAGGGGCGGCCAGTTGACAACAGCTGAGATATCACGTACTAGACATCGCTGAGACGTTCCAGGACAACAAACGGACCTGTGTAATTGGCCAGAAACTTTTGGCAGAGGTCGCGCTTGCGAAGCGGCGCCCAAAGCCACAAAGCCACCAAATCTCCTTTCTCAAACAATACGTGCCGGTGACTTCTGTCGTAATGATTCTTGGAGCATTTCTGCGAGACGAAAGTTCGAAGGCAGGCGATGCGCCGGGCCTCTTCTGCGCGGCAAATGATTTCGGCGAGGGTAGGTTGATCAGTCTCGGATAAAAGAAGGATAGTGTCAAGAGCTGTGCGGGGCTGGCGTGCATAGAGCAGATGAGATGGACTGTATCTCGCTTCATGCTGTGCAGTGTTGTAGGCGAAAGTTATAAATGGCAAAATTGTGTCCCATGTTTTGTGTCCAGAATCAACATACATGGAAATAATGTTGGCGAGAGTCCTATTAGTTTGTTCCGTCAAACCATTAGCCTGCGGGTGATACGGGATAGTGTGACGAAAATGGCACGAAGCAAGACAAAGGAGGTCTTCAACTGCATCGGCATCAAATTGCCGCCCGCGATCGCTGATGATGACACTGGGGGATTCATGGCGTAATATAACGTGTGACAGCATGAACTGTGAAACTTGAGTGGCCGTTGCCGCAGGAATCGCCGCAGTTTCGGCGTAACATGTGAGGGGTCAACGGCCACAATAATCCATCGGTTGCCGTTCGTTGATCGCGGAAAAGGGCCGAGCAGGTCGACACCTACGACGTCAAATAATGAACTCGGGGGTGCTATGGGATGAAGTAGTCCGGCTGGCAGAGCTGTAGGACGCTTGTGGCATTGACATTGCTCACAGCTCGCAACGTATGCAGTCACACTTTTACGCGTCTTCGGCCAGAAGAAGCGTTCTTGCGTGCGATAAAATGTCCTAGAAAAATCCATATGGCCAGATATTGGGCCGTCGTGCATTGCTCGAAGCACGTGTTGTCGTAGACTTGTAGGCACAACTAGAAGTAGGCGAGGGCCTATGCCGGAATAATTCTTTTTGTAAAGAGCGCCATCTTTTACGACTAAACCACGTTGACCGTTCGTTCCGGAAATAAAGAAAGAAGCGAGACTGTTGTCATTGCGTTGCTCTGCTCGAAAAGTTGTTAGGTCAGAAAACGGAGTATCCACTACAGCCAAATATTCATCAAAGTTGTCAGCCTCACACTCGGTTGTCGAAAGGAGAAGTCGTGAAAGGCAATCGGCGTCGGCAAGACGACGACCGCTCTTGTAACAGACTTCAAAGTCGTGTTCTTGCAATCGTAACGCCCAACGAGCAAGACGACCAGATGGGTCCCATAGTCCAGTGAGCCAACATAAAGAATGGTGGTCCGTGACAATCGTGAATTGCCGTCCATAGATATAAGGGCGAAAATTGTGCACAGCGAATATGACCGCAAGACATTCCTGCTCTGTGACAGTATAGTTTCGCTCCGGTGAATTTAAACAGCGACTGGCATAGGCAACGACGTGTTCAGCAGCTCCATGACATTGGACCAAGACGGCGCCAATACCTACACCACTGGCATCGGTATGAACTTCTGTGGCAGCAGATAGGTCATAGTGGCGAAGTACAGGCCCTGATGTAAGAACAAACTTGAGTTGCGAAAAAGACGACTCGCATTCCGCTGACCACCGAAAAGGTGCGTTCTTGTTGAGTAGGGACGTCAAAGGGTAAGCGAGGTCGGCGAACCTGGGCACGAAGCGACGGAAGTACGAGCATAGGCCCAAAAAGCTTCGCCATTCTCGTACCGACTGAGGCTGTTTGAAGCTGCTGACTTCAGCGACTTTCTGGGGGTCAGGTCGAACGCCATGCTTGTCCACCAGGTGACCGAGAACGAGAGTCTCACGGCTGCCAAAGTGACACTTTTTAGAGTTCAGGGTGAGCTTAGCTCTCTCAAGGCAGGTGAGAACAATGTCTAGATGATGGTTGTGTTCATCGAATGTACGGCCAAAAATTATAATGTCATCCAGGTAGCAAAGACAAACTTCCCACTTTAGTCCACGTAACACAGAGTCCATGAAGCGCTCAAACGTGGCTGGAGCGTTGCATAGGCCAAACGGCATTACATTGAATTCAAATAGACCATCTGGGGTTATGAAGGCCGTTTTCTCTTTGTCATTCGGGTGCATAAGGATTTGCCAATAACAAGATCTCAAATCCTAGGAGGAGAAATACGATGCCGAATGTAAACAATCGATGACATCATCAATCCTGGGAAGCGGGTAGACATCCTTTTTAGTAACAGATTTGAGCCGTCTGTAATCCACGCAGAATCGCCATGTACCATCCTTCTTTCGAACAAAAATCACAGGGGCAGCCCAAGGGCTACACGACTCTTGGATGACCCTTTTCTTTAACATCTCCTCTACCTGTCGAGCAATGACCTTGCACTCCGCAGATGAGACACGGTATGGTTTCTGCCGGATAGGGTGAGCGGATCCTGTGTCAATCCCATGGGGAGTGTGCGACTCGGATACACTTATTTGCTCTTCATTCTGCGCAAAGTCAAATATAGTAGCGTGCTTCGCAAAGACTTCGACCAAAGCTTGACGTTTTTCTGATGATAGCGACTTGTTTACCATACTCAGAAAGTTGGCTTCTGTATGGTACGTTGCACGAATAGGATCTACTCTCTCGTCGTTTAAAGATGCAATAAAACTGGTCGCATTTTGTTCGAAGAGGGCGAGTCGCATCCTGCAGGGTAGCAAAACAGGTTCATTTGAATAGTTCGACACCCATAATGACGATCGCCTATCAATGATGGACAGAACACAATGTGGAACGAGCACATTTTTCTTGGCGCAATTGAGAGGAATGGGCTCCACAAGAACATCAAACTTTCCGGCGTCCGAGGCAGAAGCGTCAACGCGTACGGTCTTCATCGAGTTGGGCGGCAAGACAACACCCTCAATGACGGTGATAGATCCTTGACAGCACCTAGGATCGTCAGTAAATGCCGATAGCACAATCTCGCCAGCACCGCAATCTACAGTAGCCCCGCACTCGCGTAGAAAATCGATCCCCAAGATGATGTCAAGGGTGGAGCTGGTCAGGACAGCGAATTCAGCCTAGAAGACCTTGTCACCCAAAGTGACACTGACAACACACACACCGATCGGGCACAGTGTCTCCCCGCTCACTGCACGAAATGATTCACAACTGTCCCAGCGAAACATCACTTTATGTCTTAGCCGCAATTTGAAGTTTAGACTCATCACTGAAACAGCTGCTCCAGTATCTATCAAAGCCATCATAGCAAGTCCATCAATAAGCACGGGGACCCTATTTTGTGTCATAAAAACGGGCGGAGCATAGGCGGATGTAGTGAAGAATGTTCGGCGACCTCACCTCCATTGGCCGCACCACCTAGTTTCCCGGAGGCGGGGAGGTGACGCGTCGACCAGGAGATGGGGAACGGAACAGGCGTGTTGTAGGGGGCGTCAAGCTTCGCATGGAGGAAGGCGAGTCATTGCGTAAATTCCGGTGGAAATTGCGTCCTACATGTGTATCACTGTGGATCGTTTGCTGGAAGCCGTCCCCAACGTACGCGTCCCGCATTGAACGCATACCACCGCGCCAGCGGTTTTGTCGAGAAAAAGCTAATGATCCCTCGTAGTAGTGCTGCTGGGGACGACGCCTTTGACCTTAGAATCGAGCCACATGTCCACGGAAACCGCAGTTATAGCACACAGGGGCCTCACGCACGTCGCCAAACCTTCCACGAGGCGCCATGTGCCCATGATCGTCCCACGAAGACACCATTGTAGGTGGTTGGCGGGAGGCGTTCTGGAAACCACGGCGATGATGTAGGTTGTCGGTTGGGGGCTCTGGTGCTCTTGATTGAGGCACATCATATAGCGTGGCATCAACGGCAGCACACATTGCGTCGTATGGCGGGGAGGTGTTGATAGCAGGTGCTCTCGGCGGGTTGACAGCATCACGTCGTCCAAGTTCTTCGCGTACGATTTGCCTGATCATTGAGGCAAGATCACAGGAGGATGTTGGAAAGACGTCGACACTTGCAACGGTTGTGACGTTGGCAACTCTACCAAATTTGGGAGTGATGCGCCTAGCCTTCAGGGTCTCAAACGTGCGGTAGTGTTGTATTACGTCCGCTATAGACGCCAACGTGTCCTTGCCGATGAGGAAATTGTAG